TGGGTTACACTCACAGAATGTGTGCGAAATGCGGCATCCAAGTGCCTTCCCCTACAATCGAGTGGTCCAGCTACATTGCAAGAATGGCTGGAAAAGGAGAAGGATGTTTTCGATGTATTCGGAGTCCACTTACTCCCCTCGCCCCCCCCACCCCAATTTCCATGAAACATAGTGAACGGCAGAGGAACCTGGGCAAGCTGGGCTGGAAATGCATGGTAGGAATGGTGCTTCGATGCACGAAATGATGATCCGTGTCCTGCTCTGACACGATCCCCTCCGGCTGTCCCACGGTCCTCCAGTACTGGCGGCAGCTAACCGCGCACCGCAGCATCGAGGCCCCCCACGGGGGCTTCGCTCGGCGCATGTCAGGCTGCTCGGCCCGGAGAGGGAAGAGAAAAGGCGAAATGCCACCCCACCGCAACCGGCCTTCGGCGGCACGCGCTCCTCCAAATGGCGGCAAACGGCCGAAGGCGGCAGGAAAGAAGGCCTCCGCCTGGTATCCATGGCAACCGGAGAACGCCAGGAGCCGTTTTCGCGTCTGAGGGGGCAGCGCGGGCGGCGAGCGAGGCCGTGGTGGCTGCCGATCTGGCTGACCGCTGCGTTTCACCCCTGCGGGCCATGGCGGACGCGGCCTATGAGGAAGCTCAGGCTGACCGAGCTTTATTGCTCAATTATTTATAGGATACCTAACTGACTTGGAAAGCATTTTCCCCTCCCTACCGTGTCGTAGGAATAGCTGAGAATCCACATTGTCGCCGGTCCCATTTACCGAGGCAGCCACCATCTTCTATTCCCATCTCTCCCCTAAAGGGCGACATGTATGGGATGGAATTTACATATATTAAAACACGAGCTGTAAATTAAAACACGAGCTGTAAATTAAAAAATAACAAGGAAATAAAGCTTTGCATATATATTCGTTTTTTAAAAAATCCCGATAGAATTTCCTAAGGCTGTTTTTTCGGTAGATTTATCAATTGCTTTGAGACATCTTAAGTACACGTGAATCTAAACACTACAGAAATATGTTGTATCTGGAAAAAGAATAAACATTCCAATTCAACTTTTCTTCCTTTTTAAACAAAGGAAGTGGGGCAGTGACTCCTTTCTGTCTAAAGTATTTCACCTGCCATGAAGAAAAATGTTGCCGGAAGTCAGGCAACATAAATTATTACTATTAATAATAATCAGGCAGATTTTTTTAATGCTTCATCTTCCTAAGAAGTCACAGGAAAAAAATCGTTTTTATGATTCTAATTTATCTGATAGGATTACCTTGTAGTCAATGTTAAAAGCCACTGACACTGTCATTACTTTCTGGCTGGAGGGATGGATGGATAGAGCCTAGCAATCGCTTTCCCATTAAAATCTAATTAATGAAAAAGCATGTTGCCCAATAAAACTTCCCTAGCTTTATATCAGTAATATTCATTGTATGCAAGTCATTCTTCAGGTCATCTGCAACAAATTATGGACACAACTCTACAATAGCCAGATATTATGTTTAACATAAATAATTGCAATGTCAGAGGTTTAAAATGAAACGAAGCATCATTGCTTATGATTCAGACATTGATATTTTGTGCCTTTCCACTTTTGGGGTTTCAAAATGACTTCTTTATTTCAAAGCATCCTCTTTAAATGCAAAAAGTAGTTAATAAAGATGCTGTTAGTAGATTTGTTTTAGAATTATGTACAACTCCTTTATAAGTGCTCTCAAGTTAGTTTAGTTTAGTTTACTTTATTGTCATTGCATCTTGTACAATGAAATTAAACACCATATATTCAAACAAAGAAAATAGAAGATTGCTATTTTTTTTTCCATGAGTTTGATTTTATTATATAAATCTGAAATAAATTTCTTTTAAAAATGTTTTGTGGTCCTGAAAGTTCTGTCTTAACATCTTATTTTATCACTATAATATAGTCCCTGAAAGAGATCACAATGATGTTTGTTTAGGTTATAAATCTATGCAGTGTGTGTTTTTTAGTGCTAAGTTCTAACTGCATATGTTTGTTGGTTCTGTCTGTACGAACATGAAGCTTGAGGCTGTGATTTTTAAAAAAAACTTTTCAGAGTATTTTCTTGTCTCTAGGAAATTACAGATCCCATTATGGTGAACAAAGTTCACTAGACTTACTTAAATAACATTCCCTGCCTGCAATATCAACTAAAACGGGCATGTCTTATCCTTAGCCAAAGAGCCATAGGGGAACCTAAGCCTCCTTAGAGCTTTGACAGTTGCCCAATAGCAGCTGACAAAGTTTATTGGCCTGGAATTGGCACCGTTAACTCCCAACTCAACTCCCAATTGGGTTAAATGGAAAAATAAAATAAAATAAAATAGGACCTAAGTACTGAAATAGCAAATAAATATATATTTCTTTGGCTTCCTTTATTCAGAGAGGATATAAAGTATACCGTATTTGCCGGCGTATAAGATGACTTTTTTGCCCTGAAAAACATGCCTCCAAGTGGGGGGGGTCGTCTTATACGCCGGTAAATATGTTGTCACTCGGTGCAAGAGTGACGGGGGCGGGGCTCTGCAACTTGCGAAGCCCCTTCAAGCCCAGCCGGAGTCTCTCTTCCTCCTCCTCCCCCCCCACCCCCCCACCCTCCGCCCGGCTCGGGGCGCTTGCGGAGGCCAATCTGGAAGTGGGGTGGGGGTGGAGCGGGAGGGTCTCTGGCGGGGCCGCTTCGCCCAGCCAGCCCCGAGCCGCGTAATGGCCCGGGGAGTGGGAGGGAGAAGGTGGTGGGGGTGGACTGTGGCGCCCCTCCTTCTGGGCAGCGGGGCGGGGGGCGGCAATTTGCTCCTCCCGCTTCTCCCTCCCTCTTTGAAAGACCGGGAGGGCTGTGCTTGGGGCGGGGGGAGTGTCCTCGGGAAGTTCCTGATGGGACCCCGCTGGACAGGGCCACCCGGCTCCCGAGCTGCTTTCCAGGGTCCCCTTGGGAAGAAAAGGGTCCGGTGGGCGGTGGAAGAAGGCGAGGGACCTCCTCCCACCCCCTGTCCCGTCCCATCCCTCCTCTTGTCCCCTCCTCACTTAAGAGAGAAAGATCCGCCTCCCCTGCACCGAGCTGCCACCCGGCGCCGCGTCTCCCGGCCAGCGCGCGCTTGCGACTTGGGAACCGGCCAAGCGACTTTAAAACCGAGCGGAGGCCAGAGATAGCCGGAATTACCCTCCACACCACACACACACACACACACACACACACAGAGAGAGAGAGAGAGAGAGAGAGAATTGGCAGCTGTCTATCCCCCACCCTTGGAGTCCCGATGGCACGCACGCGGGGGCTGTCACAAAGAAAGGGAGAGGAATTGAGTGCCAGCCTGAGAAAGGCGAAGCTGCCTCTCTAAAGCATTTTGGTGGCTTTGTAAGTTTGGGGGAAAGGGGCGGGGGTGTCAATCAAGAATTATATCCAGAATACCCCAAGTGTTACAACTTACCGTATTTGCCGGCGTATGAGATGACTTTTTTGCCCTGAAAAACATGCCTCCAAGTGGGGGGGGGGTCGTCTTATACGGCGAGTATATAACAAACTCTATATTTTGAGTGGAAATGTTGGGGCTCGTCTTATACGCCCAGTCGTCTTATACGCCGGCAAATACGGTAATAATGATAACTCACCTGCAGGGTTGTTGTTTTTTTTGCTCTATTTGAGGATAATTGTATGTGTGCCCAAACTTTCCAGAAACCTTTGAGAATGTGTGTAAAACAGTGGTTTTCCAGAATTTGTTTTTACAAAAGTGGGACAAAAAAAACCTACTGTGGATCATCTTTAATTGGAGTTATTTTATTATTAATATTTATTTTATTAGAATTCCAGGTTCTTTCATCAAAAATACAATTCCTCCCTTAACTCCTCATGTTACATTTCTGCCCTGCAACAGTCAGTATACATTGCATATTCTTAATACTTATTGGGCTTTTTTGAGTTAACCAGATTTTCTCCTCTACATTTGTTTTTGTTATTTGCAATCCCAAATTTGCCAGTATTTATTTACCTCTTGGGCTAGAGAATGCTGCTTTGGTTGCACGATGACAGTAGGTTAAATAATATAGTTAGGTTAGGTTAGACAGTAGGTTAAATATATACTATGCTAAATTCATTAAATTAAGTTTTCCGAATAACATATTTGAAATTTTGAAAAATCAATTGAAAAATATGTTTTATTGTCTGTTAAAGTTACTGTAAACCTAACTTGTTTTACATTTCAAGGGTGAATAACTGTACTTTAGCAATTTGGGAGAAAATGAAGTAATGTTGCATAGTTTCCCCCCATTTTTAGCAATACAGATTTAACTATTATGTTCAGAAGGTCTTTTCCTTGGTATTTCATGTAAACACCAGAGTTTGTAATTGAAATATTCCCTCAAGAGTTTTATTGACAATGATATTTCTATAATATTATTAATTTATAGAAGTGCCCAGGGCAGGGCAAATGCTGAAATTAAAATGCTCATTTTTTTTCTTTTTCAAAATGACATTTGTTTGACATCCAACAGATTATTTTAAGATTAAATAAAAATTAATGTTAGCCTGCTGTTTTAAAAACTGCTACTGTCTTGTGCAAGTGGAAGGGATTTTAAATTGGAGACATTTCTTTTCTAGAATGTTGACATGTCTCTTAACTTGATCTGCCTGACTTCTTGCATAAGGCAACTCTGAAGTCGATTGGCTGCCAGTGAGCTCATGGATTTATTATGCATCTCTTTTCAGCAGCAGCAATATATCATATAGTCTCCTTCTCTTCAGTGAGATGCTACCATTCCCAAAGCTGTAGTTTTATGTGTGTGGGTTTCACCTGATTGTATCAGGCTATGCAGAAATGCAGAGCGCTCTTTTGCGGATGTTAATAGTCTTTGTTGGTATCGTATACTGACGTCACGAGGCAATGGCTGAGCTTGAGGCTGCTGGTTGCTGAGTTTATGTGCTAATTTCATCTTCAGCACAGCAAGCAAGCTATTGTCACGGAGCTAACCCTCTTTCTGGTTTACAGAGACAAGATTTCCCAACAAGACATGAACGAAAACTCCCCAGAGCTACAGCGATTGCGACTAGGTGAATGAAACAGCCTCAGGAAATGGAGGAAGAATAAATTCAAACGGCTTTGGATTTATAATGCAAGCAGCTTTTGTGGAGTTCCAAGGAAATTTGCTTTCGTGCTTCTGGATTTAAAATCATGTATGTGGATTATTGTTTGTTCCTTTAGCATTAGGAATCCTATAAAATCAAATATATCTGTGCGTCTGTGTTTATATCTGTACATCGGTCTGTATGTCTATTTTTTAAAAATGTATATAATTTGGTTTTCCTCTTTTTCCCGTCCTATATTTTCTTAATTTTGTCTTAGTAAATGTTTAATGCAACACATTGAAATGTTATTTATTTGTAGGTCTGTTCACATTGTAGCCTTTGGGAATGAAAGAGATGGATTTTCCGAGGATGATCAGCAGAAGAGTTTGATCTGGACCTATCTCGGGAGAAGTGCTTTAGTTTCAGAGACTGACAGTAATTTGTTATTAAACTCTGCCAGTTACCTTAGAAATCCTGCATTCACCGAGTATCAAGCTTGTGTGTTTGGAAATGTCAGATTGGTGATACATGACTGTCCTCTCTGGGTAAGAGAATGTAGTAAAAAAAAAAGTTATAGAGCAGTTTTAAACATGTCTATTCTGAAGTACCTAGGTCTCAAAGTATTCTATTAGGCTTATTTCACTGCAATCATGTAGAATTGTAGTTTTATTACAATCTGGGCCAAGTGCTAAAATAGTACTCAGCCCTTAATATGTTAAATTGGATAAAAAAGAGTTAATCTTTTACAAATTGCTCCCAGTTGAATACATTTTGGGGGTATTTGACAAGCTTAAAATATAAAAAGCATTTTTATTCCTATATTGAAACAGTTTTTGTCATAGAATAAAACTCTTTTTATTGAAACCAATAGAATATAATATGGTTTTTTAAGGTTAAATTTTAATTTGGATCTTTTTCTAAAAGCAAATTGTTTAACTTTCAGCTTAGAATATTATTTATACTGCATGAATGTAAACTTGTAAAAATTGACACTGTTATTTTTCTTAATCATGCAAAAAATAGCTTTTAATTATGTATGATGTTAGTATTATAACTTATAAGCAACTAGATTCATATCTTTATGTGAAATTTTGAGTGATTTATATGGATGTGAATAAATAACCTTTAGTTTAAATTTTAAATACAAGAAATAAATCCTGTATCTGAAATAGCAGAGAGCTACATTTCTATGAAAGTTTATCAATATTGTCAGATAATGTTGGTAATATAATCCTTACAAGTGAAATGCTGCTTATCTTAGTCATTGTTGATAGATAACATGTTTTTAATAGGATCCATCCCCTGAAACTATCTAATAGTTGTTGATGATATTCGTAGAGTTTTAATTTTAAATGATAAAATAATCCTTTATAATATAAATGATATGCTTCCAATCTGACATAAAGAGGTTAAGAGGAATATTAGGGTGAATGTATTTTTAGAATACCAGGACAGGACAGCACAGCAGAAGTAATCACTGCCTGCAGGGTGGTCAGGAAAACTAAGAAAGTAAGCTAAACAAGAGGGATAGGTAATGAGACAGTTCTTATCATTCTCACCACAGTGTTGTTTTTCACACTGTTACCACAGGCATTATTGAATAGTAGAATTAGATAACACTACAGTATTATAACCACTGCAGTTGTCTGAGCCAAAAGGATTTCTTTTATAGAAGTTTCACTTAGGCTTAAGGCTTCCTATCTAGAAATGGGACAGGTTTAATACCTAATTAATACAAAGAATTAGTTAAAATACTTTTGCTTGAAGAGACATGCTCATTTTTTTCTAATTTATTCTGATGATGACATCTAGGATCTATATTTACTGGATCGATATTCAGCTTCAGTTCAACTTTTCCCTACTCCATCCATGAAATATGTTGTAAGTGAAATGTGCATAGATAACTTTGGGGAAAAATCTATTTAGTACGCAAGACTTCTAATGGGACAGAAGAGTAATTGGGGCACATTTGAAGGAGATCTGTAATTACTGCCAAGTAATTATGAAAACATGCCCTAAGTTTACATACTAACTTTAAATTCATACATTTACATGCAAACATAGATAATTGAAGATTATTGGTCCTGGTGATCCTGTATTTTCATCTCAAATGTTCATTTCAACCATTACTTACATATGTCTTATATAAGACTTCAGGAATAAACTGCACCTGGGATTAACTTTTTATGGAGGTCATTATTTTGCAGCAGTTTGTAAAGTGTTCTACATACACATAAATCAGACATTGCTTGTGGTATTTACCATGTTAATTTGTACTCAGATGGAATGTTTACTATTTTCTAATGATTCTAGTCTCACTCTGCGATTTTTGCATGTAAGTGAATAAGGATCTCTGAATCTTTGAAATAGAGAAACAATATCTAGGAATATCTGTCATTGGTTGAACAATATCTTGCATGTGTAAAAATCTAGTATTCAATACTAATATTTCCTAATGAGTAATTTGTTAGGTTCAGAATGTGGATTGAGAAGCGTATACATGGTATTCATGGTGTAAAACTTCTAAATATTTATTATGTCAAACTATATTATGTCATTTCAATTTTATTATTCCTGCTGTCTTTTTGGTGTCTTCTCTTAATATTGTTCCTGCATACCTTTTGCCTTTTCCATTCCATCCCCACTCGCAGGAACTTCTCATACCTCTGAGCATTCTGAACTTAGCCTATGTTCCCTTTTTTCTCAGTTACTTAAAATATTGGGTAATCTAACTGAGTTTTCAAATTGTGTGATTTCTGAAGTCCTTCGACTTGTGATACTACAACCTAAAAAAGGAGAAAATTCACTAATAGTAGGTCTAAAGTTTTCATCAGCTGACAATAAGAACATTGGATTGACCTTTCATTTCTAAAATAGTGAACTTCCCAGAATGTCACTGGAAAAACAGTTGAACTTCAAATTCTTTTAAGAATAAATGTGTCGTGATTCTAACCTGAACTTTGAAAGCATTATAAAGATTGTAATAAAAGGTGGAATATAATGAAGTGGTCAAAGGGTATAATGCTGGAAAAATGTAGAAAAACTTAAGTTGGCAGATTCAATATCTCAGAAAAAGTATTTCTAATTGCTCTTGTAAAATGTTTAGTTAGCTATTTGTTCTTCAATCATTAAAGGAGGTTGGAACAGCCTTTTAAAAAAAGAACACTGTATTTATTAGGAATTTTAGTAATTGATTTCTAATAGCTTTTTTTTACTGATATTCAGAAATGAAGAACTAATGGCAGTTATTTATCCGGTAAATCCAGGTCAGGAACAAACTGCCAGTGAAGCAGTTTATTCAGTTTTCAATTATACTTTTCCTTAATTTCCGGGAAGGATAACGTTTTAAAAGTCAAATGCTTCTGCTTTCAAAATGTATTAGTACTGCACCAATGAACTGATATTGATATAATTAACTAAAATGAGTGGTAGTTTTGATGCATGTATTTTATATATAAATTATATCAATAATTGAATAGAAAATTTATCTTAAAATTTAGACAGTTGGATTGGAAATCCTTTACAGCCATTAACTCTGTTAATTTCATCTAGTAATCTATGTATACAAACTCATAATTAAAAAGGACATACTAACATAAAGTTTGCTACAAGCAAGACATAGAAAGCAAGATGAAGTTTGAACAAATTGATTTATTGCAGACAGCTTTACATATTTTTAATACCCCCAAAACAAATGTTGTATCCTAAGTTTTAGTAAACTTTCGGTTATTATACAGTTGTGTGCTCTGATCTCTTGATCAATAAAAAAGGGAATTTAGCTCCATCTTTTTGTTTTATATAGGATATTTTTGAGAGTGACTGGTACACATCTCGGAACCTCATTGGAGAAGCAGATATCATTGTGATTAAATATTCTGTAAATGACAAGTCTTCATTTCAAGAAGTAAAAGATATTTATGCACCACTGATAAAGAAAACACTTAGTCACTGTTCAGTTCCAGTTATAATTTCTGCTGTTGGTGCAAGACAAAACGGTATGTGCTAGAAGTCATGTTATAAACAGCTGAGATATCAGTATTATGCTAAGTGTTGGATGGATCATGATCAGACAGCTTTGTTATTCGACCACTCATGGTATAGTTAGTACTTCTTAGAATTGAATTTAATATTCAGAAAACATTTTACCTGGTTTGATGGGTTCCAGTTGAAAGAGAAAAAAAAATGAGAATAACTCGAAACAGTATCATGTTATATAGGTAGTCCTTGACTTACAACTGTTCACTTAGTTAACATTCAAAGTTACAATGGCATTGACTTATGACCATTTTTCACACTTATAACGTGCACCCAGTGGTCACATGATCAAAATTCAGGTGCTTGGCAATTGGTCCATATTTATGATGGTTGCAGTGTCCTGAGGTTATGTGAGCCCCTTTTGCAACAAGCAAAGTCAATGGGGAAGCCAGATTCACTTAACAACCATGTTACTAACAACTGCAGTGATTCACTTAACAATGGTGGCAAGAAATGCCGTAAAATGGGGCAAAGCTCACTTAACAAATTTTTCACTTAGCAACATAAATTTTGAGCTCAATTGTGGTCGTAATTCGAGGACTACCATATGCTCATTTTAAAAGCAACCTAAAAGCATTAGCAGTATTCTGAGTTAGAAGCTGAAGAATGTGGTTCTTTGAAAATTTGGTTGGTACAATTATGAAGAGCAAATTTTCCCAGGAAAGTATCACTTTTCTGTAGAAGACTATAATTAATGATGGAAAAATGACAAAATATCATGATGCAAAGTCTACTGTATCTTACTTGAACATTTTCATTATATTTAAGTCATAGGATTTGTGGCATGATGTTTTGGCATTTCATATTTTCACTTGCCTCCTTGTGAGCTCCTGCGTGCCTTTCTGAACTTCTATAGGAACAAAACTAGTATAACTTTAGTGATTCATGAACTCAGAGTAAAGAAACACATAATTTGTAATTGTGAGAAAAGGTTTTCTAAATAATGTGTGTATAAGTTGTACTTTACACACTTGCAATAAGTCATCCACTATATTACTGTATATCCATAACAAAGCTTTTTCTTAGGGTAGATATTATTTTTGTATTAACCACAGCTGAGATTTAAGAATTCTGCAGCAGAAATTCTCAATCTAAATTCTTAATACCAAAAGACCACATTAGAATTAATACTGATTAATCTAGTCTTTGGTAAGAAAATTAATTTTAATAATTTCCATGATATAGTAACAGTTTGTGTGGTGCATTGATCATAAAACATTTGGCACTTAAGCTTCTTTATAATATTATTTAATGATTTTAGAAAATTTTTATATTAAGTGATACAAATTGTCCTTGATTTACAATTGCAATTGGGATCTGAATTTTGGTCGCTAAGCAATGCGCTTGTAAAGCATGACTGTATCACTTAGAGATGGCAATTCCTGCAGTCTGAGTTGCTTTTGTTAATCAAATTTCATAACCATTAAGCAAGGCAACGTCCTTGGCTTAAGTCAATGGGGAAACTGACAGGAAGTTGCAAGTCCCAGGCCAACAGGCAGATAAGTGGCTACTGCTGCTGGGTTTGGGAGGAAGCAAGATGACTTATGGAGGTGCGAGGGAGAAATTGTGAGGGTTGGGGAGACTTTGCAAGAGGTCATGTGAGAGGTATCATGAGAGTTGGAGAGTGAAGGCATGGATTGGGGAAGGTGGGTGAGGGTGTAGCATGGGTGTGGGGAGGATGTGAGGGAATTCTTGAGAGGTGCAGGATGGGTTGGAAGAATGCACAAGAGTGTGGTGAGGGCCCAGGTTAGGGAGGGTGTCAAGGAATGTGCAAGAGGTGAGGCGTGAATTGGGATGCAAGAGACTACATGAGATGTTTGGTTTGGGCTGGGGGGTGCACAACACTGTAAGGGGTGCACAAGAGGTGTGAGTTGGGAAGGTTGAAGGGTATGTGTCAGAAGCATGAGTAAGAGATTGGGGTATGGGTTGGAGAGGATGCACAAGGTATGTGAGTGCCAGTACGGCATGAGCACAGAGAGCCTGGGGGAGAGTATCGTGTAGGTGGGGAAGATTTACCCCAGCAACTTGCGGCCTTTCCTGCTGTTTTCATTCCATTATCTTTCTGGGGAAGCTGGGAAAGAAGGTTGCAAATGATAATCATGTGATTTCATGTGCTACAACTGGACATATCAACTGGTTGCCAAGCACCCAGATTGTGATCATACGACCATGGGGTGTGCTGGGATGTCAGACTTAATCTTACCTCATTTTTGATCAGGTAATTTTCTTAATAGATTATGGAAATGCTGTAGTTATTATATATCTTGACTTCAACAGAGCATTTCAAAACAAGCTGTTTAACAATGTAGTTACATATGGTTATACATTTGGTTCAAAATTGTACTCAGAGAATGCTCATCGGTGGTACATCATACTGAAATCAGATATTGAGCAGGTGCTATACAGATCAACCCTAGGTCTGGTATCTTCAATGTTTTTCTAAGCAATTTAGTTTAAGAGATGGAAGGAATCCCTATCAGATTTATAAATGCTACAAAATTAGCTGGGATAGCTAAACATTAGCAGCAACATTGAAAGTGATCAAAATAGGTTAGAAAACTGGGCTGGAAGTAACAAAATAAACTTTAACAGAGACAAGTACAAAGTTCTTAGGAAGGAAATGTCAAATGTGCAGTAGAGCATGAGGCATGTTCATACTGTATTTATGAGAAAGTAGTGTAATGTGGATGCAAAGAAAATAAATGCAATTTTAGACTGCATCAGCAGAAGTATAATGTCCGAATAATGCAATGTTTCCATTTTATTTTTGCTTTAGTCAGACCCACCTCATGTTGCTCTCAGTTCTGAACACTGCACTTAGAAGAAAAATTCAGAGAAATTGTGACAAGTTAATAGAATGATATTGAGGATGATCAGGGGACTATGAAGTACTATGAAGATAGTTCTACGTAGCTGGGTATGCTTAGTCTTAAAAAAGATGATAAGGAGGATATAATCTCCAAATATATGAAATGGTGTCAAAGAAAAATTCAGGGCAGAAAGATACATTCTGACTGAATTAGAAAAAGTTTTCTAACAGTGAGAGCAGTTTAACAGTAAAACTAATTATACAGATAGGTGGTAGTCTCCACTTTATTGAGTGTGTTAGGTGGCAGCTAGTGCTTGTGCTAATTGCTTGTGTGTTTTCATCTGGATTACAGGACTAAATTTGACTGCTTAAATAATACCCTCCAATTTTGTAATTTGGGATTTCTAATTTCAAATGGAAATATTTCTCTAAAAGTTCTTTTGTTTCATAATCACTATGCAGGGACATGCTTTTTTATTATATTGTTGTATATTGTAGCTAAAGCTGTTTAACCTTACAATGCATGAATTCTTAAATTTGATAGGCTTTTATGTTTTGCAGAGCATTTTTAAGTGAAGAAAAAATAAATAAAGCGCTTTCAGATTTGGAAGAAAACAGCTTTGCACTGTGATGAAGTTCTTTGACAGTGCAAAGAAAAATAGCAAACAGTACCAGAGTCTCATTAAAATTAAAAAGATTTCACTTATTTAATATTTGATTTAGAATGAAAATTTACTATGAAATAAATCTTAATCATTATTCATGGTATCACTAGTACTTCTGAAGAATAACGATGTGGATGTGCTAATAGGTGTATTTATAGAGATAACTATAAATATTGTTTATATTATGTTGCTGTTGTCCTACATGGACATAATTTATTTAGAAAGGTTGATAAACTAACTGAAATAATTAGTTATTTATAATGTGATTTACCACTGTTAATAGATGAGAATTTTTTCCTTTTGTTTGAAGGATTATCAAATGGAATTCATTTGCAGTTTATTAAAATCAGTGGATACAGAGCTAATTTTGAGTATACTGTGAAGAGGTGTGTACAATTATACATTTTAAAAAGCATTTAAGTTAATCTTAAGTCTTAGTAATTTTATCGATACACACACACACAAAGACACATATAAATAATTGCTTGTTTACCTGTAAGAATATTTTTTTTTCTAGAGGTTATTTATTCAATCTGCAAGCCTTATTGACTGGCTAGCAATAAATATTAAATACTCTTGTAATATTATATTAACCACAATACCTTTGCTGAGTGATAGCTTTCAGCTCAGAATTCACCTTATTGTGTTCGATAGCCTATTCTTAGGACTATAATTCATATTTGAAAGTTTTCATTAGCTAAAAATTTAAATGAAAAAGGATGCTTATTTCTGTGTGACACAGATAATCTTTCAGTAAAATGAATTGTGTATTTTTTTAAAGGAGCAAGAACTGTCAATATTAATAATAAATCAGTGGGATATCTGCTGCATGTATTGATACATAGGCATTATTTGTTATTCTTTAGATTATAATCCTGTCAGAGTGAATTTAATTGAAAAGAAGGGTTTACTTCTGAAGAGACATTCTATCTGTCTGTCTGTCTATCTCATTTATATGGCTGCCCATCCCACAAGAAATCTTTTTAACTAATTTTAACAATTCGTTAAAACAAATACATAAAGCCAATCATTATTAAAAGTATAAAATAATCATCATTAAAAAAACACTGCACAGGGGAAAGTGAATCAGCCACAGTGACGGAGCTATAATAAGATTTTACTCGTTTCCTGAGATCCCAGTCCTATTGACAAAGGTGCCATGCTCACCAAGCATAAGCCCTGTGGATGGAACCTGCAGTATGTCTTCTATCAGACCTGATGGGTTGGGCAGATATAAATTTGAAGAGGCAGCCCCTCAGATGACCCAAGCCCTGCCATGAAGGGCTTTAAAGGTTAAAACAAACATTGTGAATTGGACTGGAAGCAAACTGACAACCAATGTAGCTCACAGAGCATAAAATGTACTTTTCTAATAAGATATACAACTGTGTGCACCACTGCATTTTACATTAGTTGAAGTCTAAATATTCTTTCTTTATTTTTAATCCTGCCACTTGTCCATATTCTTCAATCTTTTCTATCAATTTGGACTCTGTTTCCAGTGGTTCTTCCAATATAAAGACCAGATCATCTACAAATGCTTGTAGTTTGTATTCCTCCTTTTTTATTTTCTTTCCCTTTACTTCTTTGTTTTGTCTGATGTTTCTGTTTAGTGCTTTCAAAGTCAATACAAACAACAGTGGCGACAGAGGGCATCCTTGTCTAGTTCCTTTTTTAATCTTAATATTATCGTCAAATCTCTATTTATCATTACTTTTGCGGATTGCTTATGATATATTGCCTCGATTGCCTTGATAAATCTTTCTCCAAAACCCATCTCTTCCATTTGCAATAACATAAATTGCCAATTTACATTATCGAAGGCTTTTTGTGCATCTAAAAACACTAAGGCCATTTGTTTCTCTGGGTGTGCTTCATAATATTCCAATGTATATTCTCATGTTATCTTTTATTTGCCTCTTACGCAGAAATCCATTTTGATCAGTATGTATAAAGTGATTCTGGTATCTTTTAAGTCTTTCTGCCATAATAGAGGATTTTAGCCCTACTTTGATTAATGAAACATCTGCAAGAAAACAACCAAAATCAGAGAACATTGAAGACCCCTCATTTCAGCCTTGAGCTACAGATACTCTCTGTGTCATCAATACAACTCTCTCTGAACCTCTGAGAAGCTTGAGTGTTCCATCCCATAATATTCAAAAAAATCCATATTTTTTTCAGTCCCAGTTTGGGGAATTACAGAAGGCTCTGGGAAAGAAAACAAAAACTGTTATAGAAGTGAAATTTTATTTAGCATATTCTAAATATATCTCTTAATTTGTTATAATAATATACAGTTAAATAATAGCCATGATAGTTTCTTATTAATTGTTTATTTTTTAAATTGTTGCCAAATACAAGTGACAATTATATTCAGCTTCAAGTAATCCAAAAAGGAGACCAAGGAATGAGGTTTCAATCTCTTACCAAAAAAACCTTTTTTCCTGCAGTTCAAGAGCAGTAATTTGGTATAGTGAATCATATTTGTTTTTAGGTGGGAAGGAATTCAGCATCATAGAAAACTTTGATGCAATTGTTATTCAGATAAATCTAAGTAGCATGAAGAATTTTAAAGATATATAGAGGAAAAATATCTAATAATAAAACTTCAAGTTAAAATAATTGTATAATTCTTGCCTGGTCCTTAGGAATAAATACTCCATGGTTTAATGCATAACTAACATGATAGAGTTTAGAATCATTGAATAAGAACCAATGTAATTAAACTATTTTTCATGAATTGTTTGTTTTCACAGAAGTCCCCTGCACTTGTCCTTTGTGTATCTCAGATAGAGGTAGCTGTGTTACAGCTTCTGAAGGAATTCAACTTGCTAAAGAACTAGGAGCCACTTACTTGGAACTGCATAGCCTCAATGATTTTTACATAGGAAAATATTTTGGTGGGGTGGTAAGTATGTTAAGATGCAAAGTATTTGACTTTTTTTCTTTTGAGTTTCCAAAATTCAGATCAGATGTTAGTGAGAACAATTGTGAAACTATGTGACACACAATCAAGGCCCATACTTTGATAAGTCAGTCTTCCGCAAATTGGCATTCTCCAGATACATATGGATTCAAACTTTCAATTATCAGCCAGCATTTTTGCTGAAAAGTGCAATCCTACTACCTCAGAAGGTTGATTATTATTGTTGAATCACCTGCTTTAAAAAGGGGCTTCAATGGGTATGAAGTTTTTCACATCAAAAACAGGATAATCAATAAGCTAAAATAATAAGGAAAGTTATTCTACATATATTCCTCAAACTATTTTTTTAAAAAGTGTGAGGGATCATCCCTTGTAAAGTGTGCCAATTATATTTTTCTGTAATCACATGGTATCTCATTTATAAAAAAAGTAATTGCCACATTTCTAAGTGCTAGTAAAATAAAAATGAAATGGTTTTTATTGCCACTTTTTAAACACATATAACAATTATTACAGTTATACCTCACACAAAAAAATCTGTAGTAATAAATATTATTTGTGAAAACTTGTACTCTGAGAATAAGCATATTAATACCTCACTTGCACTAATTTTGGTATTATCTTTCCTTATAAATCACAATGGTTCATTATTCCTAGTTCTGCCACAAGGCTAAATCAATAATAAATATGGCTTTCATGACACATGTGACTTAACTTGTACAAAATTTTTATATATCATTTATAAAATTGTAATTATAATTTTATAAATTATATAAATTTCTTATTTTGTTTTGATAAGCTTTTACTATTTTATTATGGTAGTCGTGTTATTAAATCTGGAAGGAAAATGTAGACCTTATACCATACAGTACGTCATTCTGCCTACCTGTTACAGTGAAAAGTGAGGGCAGCACGCACTGTCATCTCAAGTTAACTGTGATCATTTGCTGTTTGTCTGTTGCTCTCTCAGTGGCAATTCTAGCTGGGCATTTATGTGATTTCACAGAAAATAAAATTACATGATTTGGTCCAGGAAGCAGGATTTTCAGGGGTGGGCTGCTGGGGGTTCACAGGGGTTCGGGAGTGCCCTTAGCTAAGATTCTGTGCAGTTCGGATAACCCCCAAATCCTACTCCTGGATGGCCCCACCCCACCCACCCCGCCCCTCACAGGAGCCCCCATGCGATTAATTTTGGATGCAGGTAAGTGCAGGGCACGCACGGAGGCTTGGGGAGGGTGAAAAACAGGTCTCCTGGAAGTTCGGGAAGGCTGGGGATGCCAGAGAGCCTCTGGAGCCTGAGGATGCCATTTTCGTCCTCCCGGAGGCTCGAGGAAATCCTCCATAGCCCGGGGAGGGGAAAAACACCCCCCCACCACCATGGTGCAGAAGGCTAACTAGGCTACGCCCACCATGGCCACACCCACCCAGCAACCGGGCAGAAAAGCCTTTGCTAAAAATTTTGAAGCCCACCCCTGAGGATTTTCCCTACAATTTTGCTCAAACATACTTGACACCATAAAAAGTACTTTCTAACACTTTTAGTACTCTACAGTCAGTTGCATTTTTGTTTCAAATATATAATCTTGTTAGATTACTTTCTGCTGGTTTTAGTGAGAATTAAACAGTTTTAAGCAGGATTGCAAACTATTTATATCCAGAGTATTTAGGAAAGCTTAGATGCACAACAATAGTAGTAATTAGAAATATGGGTGACACTGATCAATTGCATCTTCTTAAATGAGTTTGATTACAAAATTTAGTGATACATGTTTTGTTTGATTTTAGCTGGAATATTTTATGATACAAAGCTTGAATCAGAAATCATCTGAAAAAATGAAGAAAAGGAAGAAAAGCCATAAATGTCATGGAGTTAAGCCACCTCAGCTTGATCAGCCAGGTGCTTTCCAATATCTGTTGCAGTGGATTGTATAATGTTGCAGAGCTTATGAAATTAGAATGTAAAATTGTATTTCCTAATGGAATCTCCAACCTTTCTGGGCCAGAGAGAATATTTGGAAATTTGATAGGGTGTCATGGACAATGCAGCATTACCAAACAACTTTCATGACAGGAGCTTATTCTTAGAATAAGTTGAGGACTACCTGTAGGGTTTGTCTTTTCTTTCTTTTGTCCTTGAAGATGGGTTTTAAAATAAAATGCTTGTCTCTACTCATATACCATCCTTATTCTGTGGTTTATAATTCCAGAAGCATTCAAAAGAATAAAATGGTAACAGGATGGAAACTAGAATATCTGTTTGAATGTCCTTTCCCTTTAAAATAATAGTATTGTCCAGAGTCTTTATTAGTATTGTGTCTGGATATGGGCATGTTTCCCATCAATTACATAGGGCATAATGTTATTTGATTATATAAAATATAGGAAGAAGTTGATGTAAATTTTTAATGCTCACATAAATTTAGTATGAAGTAAAGTATTGGTGAATTATGAGCAGATAATTATTATTTTATGTTTTATTTCCCAATATAAATTGGACGTCTCAAAATGCTCTTTATTTTTTTAGGATAAGCATAGAGTATCTGATTACAAAATTGCAAAACAATAAGTTGGTATCATAAAATATATGCCATTTTCTGTCCACTCATCTCACTTTTAAAGACTCTAGTATAGGCAGTTGCCAGGACTGGCTTGAAGGTTTTTGGAGATTCTCAGTCACCCAGGTCATGGTTGTCCCAAAAAACAACTGGACTTTGTTTTTTCTTGAAGATGTTTGGCTTCTCATCCAGAAAGAAGTTTCCTTCTTGGATGAGAAGCAAAATGTCTTCAAGGAAAAACAAAGTCCAGTTGCCTTTTGAAAAAGCACCTATGGGACGATTGACTTGAAGGCACAAAGACTGACTTGAAGGCCACAAAGAAAGAGGAGATACCTGATTTTTATGTCCAAAGTCTTATCTAGAATGGAATTGGTACAAAGAAGTGAGCTTAGATCTTTCCTTTCATACAGGATTGAGCAATCCTTTTGTGCTTGGTAGCAGCATCGATTATAATGGGTGAAATAATGAGGCAAACTGAGCAAAGTCATGTCATATACATGGGAGAGTCAGGAGTTATTTTTTTCCTAGGATTTGGAGGAAAGTAGGTATGTTTATGCTAAGTATATTAATACTAAACCTATTTTAGGGATGACAACAACAGCTCTGCAGACAGAGAAGTTTCTGAAAGTTGCAGAAAAAGAGTGTGAGAATTCTGTTGCCTAACCTTCATTCATGACTTCAGTTCATCAACTCTCTCTCCTTCATGTGAACAATGATGGCAACTTTAGTTTTCTTCCTCACTTCCCCAGATAGCATCTTAGCTCTTTTTATTTTAAAAACTGTTAGGGTTCTTAAAACTGTTAGAAGGTAGAAAGAAACAAAACCTTGAGCAACTGTACTGCATTTGTAAACTAAGTCATCTTTAATTCAACAAAAATATCTGTGACGTTATTCAGAGTACAAACACTTTTTGTACTCTGAATATAATACAAATATGGAAAACTAGATTTGAAATATAATTGTTGCATATGGAGTGAAATTATGTTCTTAATAGCAAATCTGAGATCTACAGTGCTGTTTCCTGCTGGAAATACTTTTAATGCTATTGTCTATGAGGATTTAACTTTTGCATAAAGGTCTTCAAGATTTCAGGATAAATGTAGTTAGAGCACAAATTTGTAATAAGCTACCAGTGTGGCAGCAGTTCCTCATAGCTTGCCAAATGCTGTAGTAGCTAATGGATTCCCCCACCCCCCCAACTTTTCTCTGCAGCTATTTCCATCTTCCCTCACCTTAATTATAATTTTAGTCTGATGCTGAACAACCAGTTCTTTCACAGAGCTCTTTTCTGGTCAGATTGCTTTAATTACTACATTTTTACCTAGTGACTTCAAAAGTAGTCTAAGAACATGCCTTTATTATAATAAACTTATTATAATAATATTAATTCAAATATTATGAAATAATGCATAATTCTTCCATGTTTGAAATTATGAAATTTGTTGAAACAACATTTCATATTATAAAATACGATTTCAATAAATCATGTACTTCTATATATTTTTGTAGCCTGGATATTCCAAGCCTACTATCTAAGAGCAGAATTGTCTTACTAAAAAAATCCTGATAAAGTTCTTTTTTAATGAGACAAACTAAGTTGTGAAACAGACAGCCACATTTTAACTTCGTGTTTATACTATATGAAAGCAGCCAGTCTGGTGAACTTTAATATATCCTGCAGATATGTAAAATGGGGAGGTAGACAAATGATAAAAGCATGATAAAAGCAGTCACCAAAACAATCCAATCCATGTAGCTTATCATATTTTATGTAGGAAAGGGCAGAGTTTCAGCTGTAATAATTTTATGAACAATGATTTTATGAACAGTTTTTTCATGAATTCTTTTCTAATATATGCTCTTTCTTCTTTCTTTTTTAGAAAAAATGCCTATCTTAAAAGGCGAAGCCTCACATTATGACTCTGATTTACATAACTTGTTGTTCTGCTGCCAGTGTGTTGATGTGATATTTTACTCTGAAGACTTGAAGGAGGTAGCAAAAGCACACAGGATTGTTTTATGCTCTATTAGCCATGTCTTCATGTTGCTTTTTAATGTGAAGAGCCCAACTGACATTCAGGATTCTTCTATCATTAGAACTGCTCAATCTCTCTTTGCAGCCACTCAGGAAACTCTGTTTCCCATATTAAAACATGGCACATCATGTGGTTCACCAGTAAGAGTCATTGTTAAAGACTCATTCTTCTGCTCTTGTTTGACAGATATTCTGCACTTCATTTATTCAGGTATCCTCTCATAATAGTTCCAGCTGTTTATTGTCTGTTAACAAAGAAGAGGTTACTTACTGCGAGGGGAGTACATATTATTTTATTAATATGGAAGCCTATGCATTTTGAGTTAGCGTTTACTTTGGCAGTATCACTTCAGGGTACAGGTGGAGACGTGCATCTAGTCCACCAAACTATTCCAGAAAAGTCCATTTAAAAAAGGAAATAGTAGATATACTGTGCCCTAATATTCTTATAAAAAGCTTCTTTACGTAGGGTTGTTTCTGTAAGCACAAAGATCTCCCACCAACTTCCACTTACATGCATATTAGATTTATTCCCTAAGTTGGGAGTCCATGTTTTCCAAGAGGTCTGAGTATGCATCAGAAGAAGAGTATGGAAATACAAAAGAATTTGATATTGAAGACATCTGGATGCACATGTGAGGATAGTTTTTTTCCCCAATGTAAGCTGCTAAAGAACAAAAATGTGCCAAATCCAGAAAGGAGATTTATAACCATGTGGGACCATAGACATCTGAATGTCGATCATATTATAGAGGACTTTCAGCAGACTTTGAAGAATATCACATAATATTTTCTATTTTCTTTGATCATTTAAGTCAGTAGGCAACTCATAACCTGTTGGGCCATCATAGAGATATTTCCTTACCTGATTCCTTAATGCCTTCAACAATGGCAGATGTTCTAATGTACTGAAAAGTTCTTAAAAATTCAGGGAGCTATTCAGAGATGTATCTGCCTTGAAAGTACCTCATGTTGAACTGTATAGCACAATGAAACACAAGGAGTTGACCACAGGAAATATTTTATGACATTTTGTATTATGTCATAAAATGTTTTATGATCATTTTATGTCATAAAGTGGTTTATAAAATTTGTTGTGGGTGAGTCAAGGATTCTAGAAGTTATTTGTAGTACTTTGGTTAAAAGAATGTTGCTCATTGGGTCATTGTTTCAGAGACATTTCTTTACCTAAACAGAGAAGCAGAATGATGAAGGACAAAATCCTAGTACAGCCAAAGTAGTCAGCTGAAGGAACTTCTATGGCAGGATTCTGGATGGCTGGAAAACAAGTTTTGACTTATTTCTGGCTTAGCTACAATATAAGTGAAAGTGATAGGAAACTCATTTGGGGCTGGGGCTTACAAAAATTGTACTTCTGTGTTCCAATTGGAAACAACCTGTGTCACCCCTTTTCCTGGACCCTGAGCTATTTTTTCAGTTATTTAATGTACAATTCTGGTACAAACAATTAAAATACAAAACATTGAGCACAGAAGTCCTATTCACAGCAGAAACTAAGTATAACTAGATTATATTTAGTTCTTTCAGTTCAAAAATGGTTTTACTCCAGTACAGAATTTTCTAAAAACATAGTCCTTGCCGAGTTTTCTACTTCTCTGAGGCTTAGGAAGATTCTGTGGCATCTGGAAAAGTTCCTATAAAGAGATAAACTACATTTATGCACCATTCAAAAGAAACAACAAAAAAGAGAAGAAGCAAACAAAAGGATCAGCATACATCTTCTCCAGCAACCACCATCAAGATAACCCAGGATTAACCCCAAGCAGAAAACAATCAATGAACTATTAACGAAAATACAGGTAGTTCATTTAGTGACCTTCTGAAGTTACAACGGCACTGAAAAAGCGACTTATGATCGATTTTCACACAACTGTTGCAGCATTCTCATGGTCATGTGATCAACATTCAGAGGCTTGGCAACTGACTCATATTTGTGACAATTACAATATTCTGGGATCATGTGATTAACTTCTGTGATCTTCTGACAAGCAAAGTCAATAGGAAAGCCAGATTCACTTAGCAATCATGTTAGTAAGCAGTTGCTGTGAGTCATTTAACAATTAAGGCAAGAACAGTCATAAAATTCACTTAACAATCGTCTCACTTAGCAAAAAAATTTTTTTGTCTCAATTGTGATCATAAGTTGAAGACTACTTGCATCCCATCCCCACAAATACTGGCAAGGTCACTTAGTGTATATAAACAGGCAGCAAACCTCACATTCATAACACTGATGTTACCTAGTTGGATAATGACACTTAGAGGTTAGAGAAGCTTAGAGAGCACCAAGGACTCCATAGATCTTATGCAGTATGTACACTATTGGTCTGTTGGTTTGTTTCTCTTTTCTCCTTTTTGTGTAGAGTAGAAGTGAAAGCTTTTGTTTTCCTGATTTTTTTTTCCTGGTAAAAGATTTGCAAACAGCCAAGGGAAAGAAATGATGTTTTCCTCTTTGAGTATCTGAGTTGGTGGAAAAGAAGATAATTGCTGCTTTTGAATAAAATGATGGCAGGGTGACAGTGCCCTCAGTCACAATATCAGTGAAACGTCCATGGGTGAATGGCTAACATTTGCCTTTTATTATATTCAGTGAAAGACAATGCAGTGGAATCTATAAAAATTAAATACTGTTTGCAACAGAGCTCCAATGTTTAAAGATCATGTACATATCAGATTGTTAATAAAGATACCTTGTGCTAAAATGATGTCTTGTATCCCATTTTAAAAGTACTTGTTTCATATCTTTAGGTGCTTTTCAATGGGACCTATTGGAAGAGCACATTAAAAAGAAACTGAAAAATCCTGGGAATGTTGAACTTGTTCTTGAGAGAGTAAAATGTATCTTGAAAATTCCAGGAAAGGCAAGTTGAACTCTTATTTTTATTATAAGAAAAGATATAAAGAGATTTTTATCCTTCAAACATGAGGCTTATACTTATTTAGAAAAAGTATTAATATTTTTAATAAGAAAGCACGTTAAGATTCTTAAAAGCAAATTAAAAGTTTGAGATTTGCATAGATAATGGTAAACAGGTAGTTTTTTAATGGGGAGAAGTATTTGCTTGATAAGGAAGGATCGTTCATTCTATTTACTGAATACTGGAAATAGAAGTATAATCCATTGAGTTTTTGCAACTTCATTCATGTTAGCTTAATGTGAAAAGGAAATAATATGAATTTTTGAAATAAACATCAGTATAGATGTGGTTGAAAGTATTGGTATCACTCCACTTTTTCTCAAATTTGCTGTGAAGTAAGTTGAGACTAATACAAATGGCATCCTCTTTTCTTTATCCCATAGTCAGTAGAACAGACACTTGATGTATAAGTTAACATATTCTTGTAAATAATAAAACCAATTAAAATAATTTGGACAGAACTATTGATACATTTAACCTAATATTTTGTGGCATACTCTTTTGAGGAAATCTGATGTTGTTAATATTATATATTATATTAGAAAAAATATGTTAAGTCATACATCAAAACTGTTCTATGGACTATAGAATACAGCATAATGAAAGAAAAAAATCTGAAAAATGAAATATAAATTTGGTTGGATAAAATACTGAAGAAAGTAAGGTGGGATGAGATTGTACACACGTTTAGTCATAATTACCAAAAAATTGTAATTTGGTTTGAGAGAAAGAGAATTGTGTTAATTGAAGGAGTGGAAAACTCCAATTAAAGCATGGGTATTATAACATTATTAACTAATTTCTTCCCTATAAGCCAAATTCTTCTGTTTTTCATTTTCCAAGGAAGATAGGTTTTTGGAAGAATAACTACACTTTACAGAAATACTACTACTATAGTAAAGAGTTTTCTCACAACTGCCTTCCTACAAGTTCCCTTGTGCTATCTTTTTAGAACTTGGGCTCTGCTTGTTTTGGTGTACTAAAGCTTCCTACTGTTCATAATGATTTACCCTTTTTTCTTCTCTTGCCTTTGTATTTCTCAACATTAACTATACCCTTCACCAATTGGTCTCAAGCCTGCTTGTAAATTCCGTCACTTCAGTTCATGCCTTTTCCTGTTACATTTCTCCCATCCCCCAGCTCTGTGCTCAGTTTGTTGGCAGCGTTCCTTTGAATTTGTAGAATAGAATAGAATTCTTTATTGGCCAGGTGTATTGGACACACAAGGAATTTGTCTTGATGCATGTGCTCTCAATGTACATAAAAGAAAAGATACATTCGTCAAGAGTCAAGAATCATAAGGTACAACACTTAATAATAGTCATAGGGTACAATAAGCAATCAAATCATACTAGGAAACAGTCAATATAAATCATAAGGATACAAGCGACAAAGTTTCATACAGTCACAAGTGGGAGGGGATGGGTGATAAGAAATGATGAGAAGATTAATAGTAATAGTAGTGCAGACTTTGTAAATAGTTGGACAGTGTTAAGGGAATTATTTGTTTAGCAGAGTGATGGTGTTCGGGGAAAAAACTGTCCTTGTGTAGTTTTTTGGGTGTGCAGTGCTCTATAGCGTTGTTTTGAGGGTAGGAGTTGAAACAGTTTATGTCCAGGATGTGAGGGGTCTGTAAATATTTTCACAGCCCTCTTTTTGGCTCATGCATTATACAGGTCCTCAATGGAAGGCAGGTTGGTAGCAATTGTTTTTTTCTGAAGACCTAATTACTCTCTGAAGTCTGTGTCTGTCACGTAGGGTTCATTGAGTCTGTTTCATTAGCCTCTATGTGTGCTAAGAGTCCAGCATTCAATCATTGTTTTCAGGGACACCTTTTTATGAAGTTAGATTTCCAATTCCCTGGATTTTTATTTAAGAATATGTTCAAGCACCTTGCCTGGTAAGATTCTGCCTACAGCACTCTTTCTCTCTTGGAAGGTTGATTCTTGCAATAGATATTGTATCATAACTGTCCGCTGAGGTTGTGCCTCCCATGGTTTACAGACAAAATATGATAGTAGAAAAGTTATTAAAGAAGTTATAGAGATCAGGTGTTATAGAGCTGAGATTTATAAAACAATGAAATGGAAGGACCAAAGATAAATTTGATTTCATTTGGCATAATAGCAGTAGCATTAGTAGATTTTTTTTTAAAAGCTTCAGTTAAAAAAAAATGTATTTAACCATCTTCTCATTCTGCAGGTTAATGGTTCACAAAATTATAGAACTTATTTGTCAAAAAGACCGCTACATTTATGTAACAGTTCTCTCAGACTTTTCTTTAACACCACGGTATTAGCTGATGTCATGTTCAAAATACAAGGTATGATATAAAGTATCACTGTTTTTTCATATTTTCCTTAAATAATACAAAATAATGTTAATGTATCTCCTGAACCTTTAAGGAAACATTTTCTTGGCTTAATTGGGAAACAATGTTAACATAAAAATGAGAATTAATTTTTTCCTTTTCACTAGACTAGGACCAGCTAGCTGATTTTGAGCAAGTCAGGCTCTTTGAGTCCTGGGAAGGAAGCAATCGCCCAAAAAAATTTTTTTTGCCAAGAAAACTGAATATGTGTCCAAAGGAATTATTTTCTAGTTATCCCTTTATATAAAAAGAATCCATAACCTAAATTGAAAACAAACAAGTCTTTGAAATGCAGCGACATAACTTGGCAATAGAGACAGCTTGCTTTTAAATTTTAATCTTTGGACATTTTGTGTAGGAAGTGGAGGAACAATGGGTGTCATTGCTTGTTTCAAAATTCCAAAGAGAAATAAAGTGTTATGAACCAGAGTGCCATGGTTCACAAAAATAATGAAAACAATTATTCATTTGTATGTTAAAGCAATTCCTCTTTAAAGAAATTAAAAAGGGAGTCTCTCTTTTAATATATCTTAAGAATATGTAGACAGTAAAGAAGATGCTCGTGACAGAAATAGGCAAGAACTGCTATCTAGGCAAATGGGCGTGAAACATTTTTAAGCCATGATAAAAAGTGATTCAAGCAGACACCTCCCTGATTCACTGGAGTATAAGAAGTAAGGAGGGGCAATGTGGGGAGGGTCAACACAATCAGACTTAAAATATTCTTTTATCTCAATAAAGGTAATTTAGTATTTCTATTCAGTTGGTTTCCTGGTTTGTTCTACCTTGTGGGGCTGATAGAATATAGTGCACAAATGAATAAAAACTGCATATTATTTATGATGATTGAATTGTTGGCAAGAAATATATGTGCTGCTCCCCTCCCCTCCATGTATGGCAAAAGTTCTACAGGTGTTTACTCAGCCCCCTCCCCCAAACAGGTCCTCAGAAAGCATCCCCATTGCGCACGTCCAAATTCCAAGCTCAATACAGCAAAAGTCACTGGTCAACCAAATCCAATGGCCGCACACAAAGTCCAGGAAAGTCCATGAGTCACACAGGTTAAGATACACAGCACGAGCACACAAGGCACAGAACTGGGCACATTGCTCCAGCAACAACACTCAAGTCCTCAAGGCAGGATTAAGTAGGCAATGCCATTGCAGCCCTTCATGAGAGGCAAGGTTGCCTCCTCATGAGTAGTCTAGCTGACTGGCATTGTACCTGCCTCCTCCCTGTTCTACGTGTCCTTGGATCAGGAGGAGATGTGGACTCCACCTTCTTCTCATTGCTAATGGGCAGTAACTGCTCCCACTCCTGCCTGGAGCCTCCTGGCCAACTGGGCTGCAGCTATGGCTCACCTTCCTCAGCCTTAGACTTTTGCTGGTCTAATCAACCCAGCTGAAGCTGCTCCATCAGGCTAGAATTTTCTGAGCTCCAATCCTGTCCAATACTTGGTTCCACACCTTTCGCTACAGACTCAAACTCACCCTCCTCCTCCGAAATGGCATCTGGAGAAGGACGGAGGGGGTGGCAATCCATGACAATATATTAGTTCCAGAACCATTATAATGAAAGGTTCAGCTGAATATATGAGGTGATAATTGGGAGTACTTTTATGTGATATGCAAAATATTGTTCTGTCCTTGATGAATAAATGATGATGGCACTTAAGTAGTCATTAGTGAGGACCATACAAGAATGTGCTTGCCAGAATATATTGCTGCAGAATAATGCATTAAAAATTAGGAAATGTTGAAAGGTTTTTTCTTGCTTAACAATAGATCAAATGTCAAAATGCTTTTTGGCCACTTCATTTTCAAAGAAATAATCTGCTTAATTGGAGCTTTCCATTGCACCTGCAAAATAAATGTCTTTCAGTTTATTCTTCATGTCCTTTTAAAGAAAGAGGTAGAATTTGTGTTGGGCACTGTTGCTGTGTTCATTAATGGGAATAGACATTTCCACAGCCAATTTGTTTTTGTACAAATTTTGGATCGAAGACACTTGAACAGGAGCTGTATTATTTAGGAATGAATTTTGAACTATAGTATGACTTATTTTTAAATATATTTTAAGTATATTTACTAAAACAAAATGAATTAAATAAGAATCACTCAATTAACATGTAGAAGATATTAATTTCATATATATTAAAGGCAGTTGGAATAGATTCACAAATCAGAATATCTTATGCTAAACAGATTGTGGATACAGATTCCATTAAATCTGAATTCCTAACTAGGATTTATCTAGGATAAATTTACATTGAAACTTACAGTATATGATTGCAGTGTTAATAAAACAATCCAAAATATCCCCTCAGATTTCCCAGTCAGCGTTGCATGGGATCTGCTGGTTGGAAATTTGCAGTCCCAAAAATAGCTGGAGTCTGTTATTTGGGAAGGCAATTATATACTATCATGAATCAAGTTTAACTACGTTTATTCTCATTCTGAGTTGAAATATTTTGCAGCAGATACATTAATAATTATAAATAATTATTACTATTTCTTATGCGTGACTCCCATAGTATTGTTTTCATCAACCTCTTTCCTTGCAGGTGCTACAGTACCAGCTCACAAAGCAGTCCTGGTGGCTCGCTGTGAAGTAATGGCTGCTATGTTTAATGGCAACTATATTGAATCAAATAGTTTTTTGGTTCCAGTTTATGGAATTTCTAAAGATACATTTCTATCTTTTTTAGAGTATCTATATACAGATTCCTGTTGTCCAGGTATGCAAATATTAAATTGTAGTGGGTTTAGCTTTGAATAACATTAAATACTATGATAGCTGAAAAAGGAATTATTGGACTGAAAGTCTTGGATTTTCAGAGAGTTATGAATATATTGATTTTTGTATTTGGAGAAAAATAAATTTGAACATGTTACTTATTATTAAATGATGGTAAAATATCTCAGCAACATATTAACAACAGTAGTCCAAAAAAGAGGTACTTCTTAAAGCTTAATACTGTTTATTCTAAAATGAGATCCCTAAACATTTGAAATATTATTGATTTAAATAAAATGGGTTTAAATTTGGTTCATTTACACATTCCAGTAGGCATGTATGTTGAATAAAATAGTTTTTATACAACCTGTTTTTACATCAAGAATGATACTTTGTGTTTCTTAATTGGCAAGTGACGTTGATGTATGTTTTTGGGTATGAACAAGCGAAAGCAACATATTTAAACATGTATTGCATTCATCCCTGGCGTAGCCACTTTGAAGAGATGGGATGAAGGTCCATTTCACAGATATCAAATCTCAAGTGTTCCTACAATAGATTATATTTAGTGTCAGAGTGTTTTAAAAAACTAATTCTGAATCTGTAGTATAGGAATTACAAACTAATACGATGTTTATATAATGTGTATATAATTATTACATCAGTTTTAATCTGGGTTTGATATTTTAATCAGCCAGCATTCTGCAAGCCATGTCACTTTTAATATGTGCTGAGATGTACCAGGTTTCAAGGCTCCAGCACATCTGTGAGCTTTATATAATAACACAACTCCAGAGCATGCCTAGTAGAGAATTAACATCTACGAGCCTGAGTGTGGTCACCTTGCTTCAGAAAGCAAAGGTAAGTACTCCCTGTTGATATGAATATATTTATATTTTTTATCTATATTTTTTCTGTAGTTAACAAAGGCTGACTCATTTTGAAAGTAAAGATTTTTATATAATGGAATACATACCACTTATGGATTGCTCAATATTAAACTGCAGTTAATGGACCAACTGTAAACTTGATTCTGAGGGGAGAGAATAGCTGAAAACCATTTCCTTTTTCATTATTAAAAAACTGATCTGTGGAAAGACATTAATACTAAAATTAATTTGAAATTCTTTTCATAATGCTACATTATTTCCCATGCAAATTACTGTCTTGTATGGTTTCTTCTGTCACACTTACTGTGTAAACTGCTAATGCCAGCAGTTAATGATATAAAATTCTCAATATTTTCAAGCAACAGAAAACACATTTTCTGGCTAATGTGAAAAAATTTAAATGTATAAAACATTTATTTTTAAATCATATATAAGCAGATACAGTGTTATCTTGTAACTTTACAGAATGCATTATGCATATAGTGGTTTGGTCATAAAAGCATGTTTGGCATACTGTATAAAATTGAAAAGCATAAATATTTAAATATAATTAAATGTCTTAATTGAGTTTAATTGAAATGTTTTTAATTTCTAGTACAATGGAGTTACATGCTACTGAATTCTAAGACATATGGCATGCCTTCATTTCTGTCTGTTTAGGAGTAGCAGACAGAGAAAACACCAAAAATGGAAGAAACCAAAAAATTGTAATAAAGTTATGTATTCTGTATTTTATCCCAACTGTAGGAAATATAGAAAGCTTTAATTTTAAAAAGTTGATGAAACATAGAAACAAAAGCTTAAAATGCAGATGTGGCTATATGAGACACTGCCTAAATAGTCCCATTTTTAAAAAAACCGAATTATCCCAATTAGATATTAACAATTTCTACTTCTTTCAATCCCTTATCATTATCAATTTTATAAACATCTAAAAACTTTACTATTCTGACACCATTTTTTCTACTATTTGGTGGGTATTTCCAAATATATATGGCTTTACATCAAATATTTTATATATATATATATTTTATGGGTTTGGTTTTATTCTAAAAACCCAGAATTTTCCATTTTCCTTTCTTTCTCCTTGAACAAAAAATTAAAATGTCCTGTTTTAAAAGGAAAACTAAAAAACAAGATTTGGAGGCCCAGCCCAATATTTTCCCCACTTACTTGTATTAGATTTGTAAGGTTTCATCTTACCATGGCTGTTATATCAACAAATTATATCCACTTTTATAAAACATGAAAAATTATAGCCATTGATTGATTTCTAAAGAATCAGCTTTAGTTTTCAAAATCAAAATTTATATTTGGCCAGAAGTTAAATCAGGGAGCTTCTTAATTAGTTCAGGTAAATCAATTTACTTTTCAAATTTGGATCTGAACTAAACAGTACTTTGCCAGGTGCAATTTTCATTGGGGTTGAAGATATGGGAAGATTAATACCCTCACTATGTTCTAAGTCATGATAATATTCCCTAGAAGTTTCCACTTACAATTTTAAGAAGATTCATGCAACAGGTATATTTAATACAACACAAAATTTGGTCCTCAAATACATCTATTTCTCATTTAACTATCTTGTTTAGTGGTGATGTGATGGTGATAAATTATAATAAAAAATCATTTCCCGATCAAATTTCATGCATTTGACAATGTGTGCTGAAGTGAAAGTGATGCTGGTATAACTGTATGAGAGAATTTTATCTGAATTAGCAACATGATCTGCACAGTGTCTTTCTCTGTGTCATGTATTCACTTAGCAACCATTTTGCTTGACAATCTTGTCATTGGACTTGATTGGCCAGTCACTAAATGAGGAGTGGGTGTAGACTTTTCACCAATTTCAGGCAACTTTAAAAATATGAACTTGCTTCTCTAGATACTTATTGTAGTCACAAAATGCGGCACACAAAGAGACATAGATAAATATTAGAAATATATATGGACAATAAGAAATAAGGTAAAGGTTTCTCCTGTCCAGTTGTGTCTGACTTTAGGGGGCAGTGCTTATCTCCCTTTCTTAGCCGAAGGAACCAGCATTGTCCAAAGATATGGTCACGTGGCTGGCATGACTGTAGGTCAAGATGCATGAAAAGCTGTTACCTTCTTATTGAAATGGTACTTATTTATTTACTCACATATGCATGCTTTCAAACTGCTAGGTGGGCAGGAGCAGGGGCAAGAATTGGGATATCATCCCGTCGGCGTAACATGGTTCTTGGATCTCAAACTGCCTATATTCCAGTCGACAGCCCAGTATCTTAACTGTTACACCACCACTATCTTTCTACAAATTAAAGATTTATTCTAGTTACTGTATTTGACCCAAACTCCTTGCCAATACTATTTTATTTTTTAATCTTTTTTCCAGTTTCATAACTCGGATTGTCTTTCAAATTGGCTGCTTCATTTTATTGCTTCTAATTACTTAATCTTCAGTCAGAAACCTGAGTTTGAAGATCTTTCAGGTAACTGATAACTTGTTTCTTAAATAACTTGATTATTATTTAAAGAGACAAATTATGTTGTTTTTCATATCAAATGGATGTATAAATTGATATTCTTTAGGAAGAGAGTAGGGTTCTGTCTTGTCACCAAGTAGAATCTGTCTTTCTACATTTAGTTAAATGTAGAAAGGAGGCTTGCACTGCAAATACTGCATGAAACAATTTCTTGGATACTTAAGATTTACAGATCTTTCCAAAACTGTCAAAGGTTGCAGGGGAGATGCCAAAAAGCTTATGAATGGGGAGAATGACTTTGAGGGATTAAAGAAACCCATGCCTAATACTATGGTCACTCATGCCCTAGTCATCTCATGATTGGACTATTGCAATACATTCTTCATGGAGCTTCCCTTGGTGATCTTCTGGGAGCTATAGCTGGTTCAAAAGGCAGCAGCACAAGCAATATTGGACACTAATAGAAATAATTTATTAAATATGTATGCTGCCTGCCTCTCATGTCCATGAGTCATAGCTGGTACATGAGCTGCATTGGTTACTAGTCAGCTTCTGGATGCAGTTCAAGATGGGATTCAAAAAATGTTACTACTGGGCATGGCTTGGTGGGCATGGCTATGTGGTCATGTGACTGGGTGGGTCAAAAGAGAGAAACTCACTTTAACAATGCTCTTGGAGCAAAGGGTTGTACTAGATGACCTCCAAGGTCCCTTCCAGCCTTGGATTGCTGTGCTCTTTCAAAGCTTCCTCTGAAGCTGTGTCTAGTGCCAGGGTTTGTGATCTGTCCTCTCCTTTTTCTCTCCCTCCCTCCCTCCCTCCCTCCCTCTTCCATCCATCCATGCATACATACATACATACATACATACATACATACATACATACATATCTCATTCCCTTTCCCTTCCCTTCCCTGTTTCTTCTTTCCCTCCTTTCCTTCTTTCTTTCTTTCTTTCTTTCTTTCTTTCTTTCTTTCTTTCTTTCTTTCTTTCTTTCTTTCTCCCTTCATTCCCTTTCTTTCTTTCTTTGTCCCCTCCCTCTCTTTTTTCTCCCTGCCCTCTTTCTTTCTTCCTTTCTTCCCTTCCTTCCTTCCTTCCTTCCTTCCTTCCTTCCTTCCTTCCTTCCTCCCTCCCTCCCTCCCTCCCTCCCTCCCTCCCTC